CACTTTCAGGCCCATGCTAATGTATACAGAGCGCAGGCTTGCTTTGAGCATTCTACTTTCTTCAAAGTAACAGCGTCAAGGGCACGACCTCGTCAATTAAGGCCAGGACCTTATCGTCGGCAAAAGGGGCGAGACGACCGCTGCATACCATAGGCGGACCGGTCGACTGAACCCAAAGCCCAACTACGAGTTTTTTAACTGTATTCTCTATTTTGCATGGCAAAAATGGAATTTTTTGGATGTTTGGGGATAAAACTTATTTACTTGCTTTTTTATGAAATTCACACTAAAATCTTTTTTTTTTATATACAAATTCTATTAGTGTTGCGAATCATACATGCATCAAACTTTGATTTGATAACGCTTTTCCAGCAAATTTTAAAAATTTTGATTTATATAATGCAGCAAAGGCCTTGACCAATGATGTTCATTCATTGGAATAGCTTAAATTCCCTTATTTGGTTTAGCTAAAAAAACATATTTTAATAAATTTTAATAAAAGTTAATTAAACGTATGATTGAAAAGTTGTGGATCCGAAAAATGTGTAGTTAATTAATTTTGGAAAAAATGAGTTTTAGAAAATAGAAGCCAAATATAAAAGCTAAACCATATCTACATTTTGCCGAAATCAAATTAAGAGTGTAGTAATTATACATGTACAATAGCAAAAGTAAAGAGCCAAAAATGACAAACTGAGCATTATTCCCAATGAATGTGAGTTCCCTACATGAATTAGTTTTAATCACTCCCTAATCTCTTTCGATTTATTATTGAAAAATTCAAAGCTACTATATCCAAATACTAATTTGATCTCCCGTCCATAGTGAGTAGGATGAAAACTTTCCAGGCAACCTACTTATGGTTCTATGAAACAATCATAAATTTAGAGAAGCATACTTACAGTCTCTTTAATACATCAGCTATGTAAAGTTTTTATTCTGCCTACTTGAAGTAGGAGCTCAATTCTATATTCGTAGGAGATCAATCCTATATTCTAATAACTATAGCATATCGTGCTCATTTTAATCTACACCCTTTTTCTAATCTTATTACACTAAGGCCCCGTTTGATAAGCATAATTTTCCAAGGAAAATGGAAAATATTTTCCATTTCCTACTTTTTGACATGTTTGATAGGCTTTTTTTTCCAGTCAAGATTTTTTCCTTTCTCCCGCTCACGCGCCCTATTTTCTACCAAAATAAGGAAAAACTTTTCTCGTATTTCAACTGATTAAACATTTTCCTGGGAAGAGAGAAATCACAAAACCCATTTCCCATTTCCCTTACCTGTTCCCTTCACGCCGAAATCCCTTACCTGTTCCCTTCACGCCGAAACCCACTTTTATCCTCTCACGCCCAATTGATTGCTTCCGTTTTCCAGTTTAGGCCAGCCGACGACCATCTTCTGCAGTCCTCTCTCACGGCTCGCTTCCTCGAACGTAGAAGCTAGTACGATTTGTAGTTCACTCATGAAAATCTGTGTTTTCTTGTTGAAGCTTTCCACTTTACAAGTCAAATTTCTACTGGGAATGAATTGTATTGTTGAAGTTTGGTTTTATTCTCGATAATGTAGTAAATTTTTTTGGTACATGGATTTAAAGGGGACGGTTTTTTCCTAAATATTGAAATAGTGGAGAATTGATAGGAAGGGCTTCAATTTGCTGGGAGTAGGAGTTGAAGATTACATCTTTTTTTAGGAAAGGTTTTGTGCGTCAAAAGTTATAACTGGATAGGAAAAAATTGTGGGTTTCCTCTTTGCAGTCAAATTAAAGAATGTAGGATTTTGTAAATTGAATTTTGTTGAAATTGTGTTCAATTTAAGAACTTTCGGAGTTCAGTACTTCATTTTTGCTGAAGATTACAGTTGATTTGGGGAAATTTATGTATTTTTTGTTGATTTTGCTGAAGATTACAGTTGATGGAATATAAAGAAAAAATTATGTTAAAGCTTGTAAATGGATTCTCTATTCTGCAAAATGACTTTGAAGTAGGGATGGATGATCATATGTATATATAAACAAACATTGTCAACATAGAAAACGTGTTTGTGATTCCAGTTAGCTTATGTAGGACAGTATGGATCCGATTATAAAGTTCACTTATATAATAGGGGTTCTTTGGGAATTAAATTTCTGTATTAGGTCACCCTAATATCTTACTCTATATAAACAATTCTAGGGGGAGCCATTTTTCATAAATAACATAAGAGAGGTGCGAGAAAATCCTTGTAATTTCCTTTCTTATAGTGAAAATTTGGAGTGACTATTTGATGTAGCTCTGTGAACAACTATAATAATCTTACTTTACGTTTTCGTGTTTCCTGTTTTGATTATTATGGCTTTCAGAAGTTGACATTAGGTCATCAATCCATAACAGCTTATTCAACAATGAACCTGTTCATAGTTTCCCAAGGCCATGACAGTAGGATCAGCAGAAACCAAAGCTGGTTCGCGTAACTTTATCGCCCTATGAAGCCCCTTCAAATGGTCATATTTTGGCTGCCTAACCAAGCCTACTCAAATGAATAGTGAACTAAATTAGTCAGCACGTCAATTTGTAACTAAACCTTTCTTCCCAGATCCTAGGATCAAAAGTTAATGCTCCATTTTCTTACCATATTCATCAATAGGAGCATCATAGTCATAGCTGGTAGTAATGAAAGGACCTCCCGAAGTATGTCCAAAGTTGGTTCCTCCATGATACTGATAGGACATCAAGAACAAGTTCAATAAGTAGTGAACTGGTTATAATATGGTGTAAAGATGATCCATGATACTTCAAATAGTAAACAACAAAGAATGGTTAAAACCAACTTTCTAGTAGCCCTATTGGATTAATTTATTTTTGGTTAGTGAAATTTCAATTAGGTCTCAGTTAGATAATTAACTTTTAATTAAATTTTGTGTCATTAGTTTAGTAATGAGGACTAATGGAGCTACTACCAATCAAGTGCATGTTTAATATGATGAACGTGTTTGAACTGTTTTTCTTGTTTTACATTGTCAAGTGCTATTTATTATTAAATCTATTTTACCAAATATGCCAAAATTGTTTTGTGCAATCACTATGCTCCACTACAATTAAGCATTGTGTCAAATGATCTCGTGCTTGTGCTTTTTTGAATTATTTAATCCGATGTTGTAGGCATTTGGTGTTTCTCATTTCTCGATAAACAAGTATTTAAATCACAAAAAGCATTGTTGAACGTTGTTGTAAGTGTCATGGATATTTCAACAAACCAACATCGTCGCCAACGACAACAATGCCGTCTATTTTGGATGATGGTCATACAAGCAATTATAATATATAATTCAATCAGGCGTCGTAATCAACGACTCCCTAGAGCCCCACGCAGAAACTGGGATACTGAAAGAGAAATGATACTCACACGGATGTTTGGTAGTAGTGATAGAATTTGTCATGATCTACTTAGGATGAAGATAGCTCCGTTTGAAATATTATGTGCTTGTTTACGAACATATGGTTTGGTGGACAGTAGATCAGTCAAAGTAGAGGAACAAGTTGCTATATTTCTCAACACCGTAGGTCATGACCACCGTAATCGAACTGGCAGTTTTACGTTCTTTAGATCTAGGCAAACAGTGAGTTACTACTTCCATAGAGTTCTACAGGCTTGTCTTGGATTGTACAGGGATGTTGTGAACAATGCCACTGTTCATAACTCACCGTACGATAAGGATAAGGTGAAGCCATGGTTCCAATATTTTCAGGTTAGGTTGTAATATTTACGTGCTTACAGTTTTCCGTTGATGTTACATTTTCCTTCTGTAAAAAATTCTTCACTTTTGTATTAGGATTGCGTGGGGGCAATTGATGGTACGTACCTTCCTGCAAATGTCCCCGTAGACGAACAAGTGAGGTATCGCAATAGGAAGCAAATGATAACTCAGAATGTTTTGGTCGCTTGCACATTTGATATGAAGTTCACGTATGTGCTTGCCGGTTGGGAGGGATCCGCTCACGGCGGTCGGTTGTTAAGGAATGCAACTATCCTGGTAGACGAACAAGCGAGGTATCGCAATAGGAAGCAAATGATAACTCAGAGTGTTTTGGTCGCTTGCACATTTGATATGAAGTTCACGTATGTGCTTGCCGGTTGGGAGGGATCCGCTCACGATGGTCGGTTGTTAAGGAGTGCCACTTTACGACAAGGTCATAGGCTAACAATTCTGGTTGGTGAGTAATACATCTTGTTCGTTAATATGTCTTTCACCTCCTTCATCATATGAACGACATCTTAACAACCATGTTGGGAATAGGTAAATATTATCTTACCGATGCTGGTGTAGATATAAAAAAAAATAATAATAATAATAATAAATAAATATATAAGTAATGGGTCGGGTCAATTTAAATGATTAACCCAATTAAACTAAAACCTAATAAATCCATAAAATTTTAAAAGCCCACCCTATTTTTTTTAGAGGGACATCGGCCTGAAAGCAAGAAAGAACTGTTTAATTTTCGTCATTCATCTCTACGAAATGTTGTGGAGAGGATTATTGGTCTGCTCAAAAAAAGATTTGCATATTTGAGGCATCAACCATACCACGACATCGAGACACAAGCAAGGATTGTTCTCGCTTGTTGTGCCATTCACAACTTCTTAAGGATTCACGACGCACAGGATTTGTGCGACGAGTACAACTACAACAGCGACGATGAGGTGAACCCTGAACATGTCGAAGCACCCGAAGATGACACAGCAAATGCTCCTATATCGTTCACAGCAGAGGCTGCATGGGCTACTAATAGGGATACAATGGCTGATGACATGTGGGCCGCTTACCACCCAACTCAAGACGCGGGAATTGATTTCGATTGATTGTACTATGTCGTAATATGATATGGGTGTCGTGTCATGTTTGAAGAGAAACTTTGAACTTTTCTCGTATCTTACTTATTTCAAATGTTACTATATCATAATATTATATGTAATTCCCTATACTGATTTTTTATGTTCAAAGCTATCTACATAACCATGTTTGGACACTTTGAAAGAAACGTCCCTTGTTTTATATCATTGCTAACCATGTTCACACTCCATGCTATTGTGAAATTATAGTTCTGCTCATAATGTCTCCTTCAATTGTTATTTTTGTGTGACAGTGATAAATGGAACAGAATCGACGACGCCCTATGGGGCATTTTCCAGTTCCTAGACCGATAAATCCTGGAGACGGGAATCCAGTTGATTTGGGTAGAGTACAAGTGGATCCTAATGCGAGGACTCGTAAAGTACGTTGGAGTGACGAAATGGATGGTCTTATGATCACTTCACTGGTTGAACAAGTGTTGGCTGGGCACAAACAAACTGACAATGGCTTTACTTCATTTCAAGTTTCGAAGGCAATGGAAAAGGTTTTCAACGGATGTGGGGTCATAGTGTCAGATAAGAATGTGAGGACAAGGTTGAAGACTCTTAAAAAGGACCAAGCTGAAGTGCGACAGTCGCTGAACATGAGCGGTTTCGGGTTGGATCCCGAAACAGAACGCATTGTAGCGGATCAAGTTGCGTGGGACGAATTTATTAAGGTACATTTGGCGAAATATTTTAGTGACATGTTCTTTTGCTATATGTTGTTCTTATGTGGCATGCATTTAAGTTTTGAAGCATCATTCTACATGTGGAGAAAGTGGAAAGTACTTGTGTGCCCATTAGAATCAACTAGGATATCTATGTTCCAAGAGAGAAGCAATGGCAGATTAGAAACATTATTGCACCATAGGTCTGGACAATTGTACCAAGCATTCTTGCAATTTTGATTTCAGTGAGTGGCAAGAAAATAGACAAGATTTCTTTGCACTGTGATACATCCACAGCGCAGCCATAACCTAATTCCTTCATCATATCAGCCATGCTGATATCCTTTTCCATTTCTGCTGAAATAGCATCAAAATCAACTTCACTGCCGCTCCATTGCCATTCCCATCTCTGACCACAGCGTCCATGTCCCACTTGCGCCTCTTTGTCAATCTGTCCAGAGGCTTTTTCAAGCTGGTTTTCTTGAGAAATAATCACAGCCCACTTGAAAAAATTGAGTCTTTGAACAATAACTACTGGGATTGCACCTCAAGGTGTTTGTTTTCAAGAATCACTGGCGAGAGAATACACTCAATGGATAGGTTTTCTAAGGCTTTGCTTGGAATTGGATGGACCCTTTTCAAGACTAATACTAATAACCAATCTTTTCAAGATTCTCTGGATAGGCCGATGTACCTGTGTAGAAAGTTGGGTACCAATAAAATGTGTAACATTATAGATCTTCCCAATGTAAATGGAAATGTTGGAAAGTGTTGTAGGGTTAGGGAATTAAGGTTGCCTCCATTGGATTTCAGGAACCTGCCTCTGAGGATTTTACAGTACATTCTTCTGATAACTGATGATGTTTTTTATCTTGCCTAGACTAATCAGGTCTGTGTTTCATAATTTTTGTTCTTCAGTTTTGTTTATTTTTTATGTTTATGGTGCTAATTGGTATTGCTGGTACAAGTATTTAAGCCTATGAAAGTTTAGCTCTCTTTTTTTTCGCATTTTTAAGCATTGAAAGTATCACTTGAATTTGCCGCAATTTGGAGAAGTTATGCTGAGATTATTTAGGCAATTGTTCTTGGAATGTCATTACAAGCGTCTTATGTAAGATCTATCTTTCTTTAGTGTTATAACTTCTGATATTCCTTTCCCCTAGGAAGGGGCTCCTTCATGCAGTTGATTTTTATGTATTTAGGAAGGGGCTCCTTCATGCAGTTGATTTTTATGTATTATGAAAGTTTAAACCATGTGAAAAATTGCATCAGAAGTTAACAAAAGAAGCAGAATTTCTGCCTTCATTTTACATCAGTTTTGAAGTATCAATTTCTGTTGCAGGGAAAGCCAGAATTCGGGAAGTGGAGGACCAAACTTTGTCCAAGATATGATGACATGGAGACTATATTTGGCAATGATGCAGCCACTGGAGATCGCGCGGTGTCTGGTTTCGACCATTTCTCCCCATTCAATGGTATTTAATACATTTTGAAGCTTCGATTTGTGTATTTTTTTTTTTGATCTACAAGTTGTTATCTATTTCGCGTAGTCACTGATGAAAGTGTGAATGAGATGGATATGGAAAATGTGGAGATGGATCATAGCTCAGTTAATGCTCGTAAGCGTACAGCCGAAGAGGGGACACAAAAAGCCAAGCGTCGACGTAAACAATCGGTGGATGAGAGCACTATCGCCCTGTTGAGGATTGCCGAGTCATCTACAAAAATTGCTCAAGCTATGGAAATGCAAGCTACCATAGATACACAGAATCATGTGAACTGGCAATTGATTTTAGAGAAGCTGGAGGCAATGAACCTAGACATGAAGGACGTAATGGAAGTCATGAAAGCCTTTCGATCCGACGATGGTTTGGCTAAAGTATTTATGAACCTGATGAGCGAGAAATACATGCGTGCTTTGGTTTTTGACAAGCTTGGTCGTGATCCGCCTCCACTACCGTAGATTGCACGAAATTGAAATGTGTATGTACGAAGTTGTATGTATTTGTAAAACTTAATCCACGTACGTGGTCTTTTGAATTATTTTTGTAATGCAAATACGTACAAACTAGGGTACAGTGTTTTATAAATATTGGATTGATAGTTTTTGGTATAGTCTCCCAAGAGTTGGAGGTATTTTAGCTTTTGTTGATGGATTTTGTAGCCCAACTGAGGGATGTATATTGTGTATGCTTTGGATTGATGGAGTTAGAATTGTCTTGGTGTTTGTCTCGTTAATTAATGAGGTCGAACAGTTTATTTTTTCATTTTTCATAAATATTTTGACTAGGATAATCCTGTTGGAACTGGATATAATTTTGTGGAGCAGGATGATAAACATATGCTTGTTAAAACTGATGTTGAGGCTAACAAATGATTTGCAGTTTTACATTGTTGATACAAACTTTTAACACAGATGAGCAACCAAAACAGTTCAATTTATGTAGTGGCAGAGTTGAGAAATTTTTTTTGTTGGCTACGAAATTGATTTCAAGAAATAGTCCATCTCAACTAAGTAAACAAGAACTTGCAGCTGGTAAGTTTGTAGTGGCAACAGAGACGTGGAGCGAACTCGAGGATGTTATTATTTCTAGCAGCAACTCAAAGGTAAAATTCCATAAGAATGCCTATTCAATCAAGTGACAATTTGATTGTTTTAAATTTTTCTCAAAAGATAAACATTCTGAATCTTGCGAAATGATATTTTTTTGCAGTTTATTCCATGCTCAAGAATTTTTTTCGGGTGAAACATTATTTTTCTTTACACTATTCAATTTTAAACCATTGCTTTGTATTATGTTTTGTTCATGGTTTCTTGGAAAATGGCTACCAAAAACCAATAGTTGGAAAAAAAAAATTTTTCCATGGAAAACAAATCCTATCAAACAGCTAAACATGGAAAAAAGCATAATTTTCCATGGAAAACAAAAGCAATCAAACACTAAAAGATGGAAAATCTCAACATTTTTTAGGTGGAAAATTATACCAATCAAACGCAACTATTTGACATTTCCTAGGAAAATAAATTCTAGGCAATTATTTTCCCTGGAATTTGTTTTCCCTGGAATTTGTTTTCTTTCCACCCAATTTTCCAGGGAGCAATCAAACGGACCCTAAGGTCATATAACTTTTACCTCTTTATGTGAAAATAGGCAATCATAGAACTAAAATATTATAGCCAATAGCAAGAGTACTAAAAGTAAAATAATCTATTTACAAATAGAAGAAAATCTTCGAGGCAAAGAATAAGCTTAATTTTCGAAGAATCAAGTTAGAAGACACTAAAAATAAGAAGTAATAACAATCATTTATCTAGGAAATTAATGACTTCGAAATTCAATGATGAACATATTTAGAAATTTCACTAAATAAGGGTTGCTTTATCCTTAAAAGCTCACATTGAAAATTTGTCCTAGAAGCTCCCAGACTCTATTCAGCTATTGCTGAGCATATGGGTCTGTTATGAAATCAACAAGATAATTGGCAAGATCTAATAAAAATAAACAAACACAAGAATCCCAACATTTTACGTGGAAACCCAAGGTGAAAAAAATCATGGGCAGAGGATAAGTGTTTCGCTATAATCAATAATGAAAGTTGTTTACACAAGATCTCAATGCTTTCAATCAAGATCTAAAACTGTCTCAAGGCTCTATGAACATTATGTTATGTTTACAAGTCATGGTTAATATACATAAACCCTAAACATAGAGTTTTAAGAGGGTTGGAGTGTTGAAAACGTATTAAAATGTAAAACGGGCCTTGGCCTGAAGAATCGTCGCTTTAGCGCCAAGCAGGAGCCAAGTGAGCGATAGCAGCAACATGGTGCTAGCGAGCATTAACAATCTTGTTTTTGGCGCTTGAGGGGGAGAGGGATGGATGGCGAATGGATATGCACCGAGTTTTTATCTGTGATCCATAATTTGAACTCTTCAAGTCTTCTTGAACTAAAATACCAATCCCAGATAAAATTTAGGTTATACTTCAACAATTCTCTACCTTAAACAAAATTCCAATGCAAGGAATTAAACAACACTCTTCTACAAATCATCAAACAACTACTTTACTTCTTCAACACAATTCCCAATGACAAATCAATGCTTCAACTTAGCAATTGGAAGTGATTTTGTCATCATATTAGTGGGATTCTCCTTGATATGAACATTGCTCACTACAATATCACCACGAATAGTTACTTCATGTATGAAATGATACCTCACATCAATGTTCTTTGTTCTCTTGTGAAACATTTGATCCTTTGTAAAAAAGATAGCACTCTTACTATTTCAATAAACTGTAGAAATCTGCAAGTCTTTGCTAATTTTCCCAATCGAACCCCTATACCACATAGCCGCCTTACATGTCCTAACTAAAATAGCCATGTACTCTACTTCTATTGTTGATAGTGCTACTACATTTTGTAAAGTAGCTTTCCAACTGATAGAGCAGCCTCCAAGAGTAAATACATTCTCTATGAGTGAGTTCAACTTATCAAGATCCCCTACAATATCTAAATTCTTATACCCAATGACTTCATCTGTATTTCTATCAAAATGTAAACAAGCTTAGTAGAGCCCCTCAAGTACTTAAATATCCAATGCACTATTTTCTTATATTTCTTGCCTGGATTTTTCGTGTATCTGCTAACAACACTGACTGTATGTGCCAAATCTGGGCATGTAGAAACCATAGCATACATAAGCGATCCTACTGCACTTGAATAAGAAACCGTAGATGTGTAATCAATGTCTTCATTTGACCGTGGACACCAGTCGGATGATAATTTACAGTGAGCAGCCAAATGAGTACTGATAGCCTTTGTATTCTGCATATCGAACCTGTAGAGTACATTATCAAATATAATATGTCAGCTTTCCTATCCCTCAAGATCTCTATAACAAGAATCTTCCTTACTGCACCCAAATCTTTTATCTTAAACTTCTTCCTAAGCTTTTATCTTTCTAACGTGTTCTTTATCTTTAGCTGTTATGAGCATATCATCACCATACAATAGTAGATATGTAACTGATCCATCATCACACTTTGTGAAGTATACACAAATATCATAATTGTTTCTAATGAAATTATGAGTGGTCATGAATGAATCAAACATTTTATACCACTACTTCGGTGATTGCTACAGACAATACAAAGATTTCCTCAAAAAGCACACATAGTTCTCTTTTCCACTAGCTATGAAACTCTCTGGTTATTGCATGTAAATATTCTCCTCAAGTTCTCCATGTAATAATGTTGTCTTGACTTTTATTGCTCATGTTCCAAGTAATCAAATATGCGCTCAATTAATATTTGTTGTGTGTGCTGAAAGAAGTAGCGAATGGTTGTCAAATGAAATGACATAAGTCACACAACACAAATCTTATGTACAAACTGAAACTAATTATAGTTAAGGTAATTTCAACCATGTTATTTATATTATAATTTAGTACAAATTTATTTTTAATCACACATTTTTTCTTTAATTTTATTAAAAATCAAAATTTTAATAGATTTTGATAAAAATGGATGAAATATATAGTCGAAAAGTTGTGGATGTCATGAAATGTATTATTAAAATTAATTGTTAATTTTGACTTAGGTTTTAAACTTTTTAGCTATACCAAATCGATAATTTATTGATTCACAACTTTATCTACTTTTAACCACGTATTTATAGGACCTTTGGACATTCCTACAATTAGATTTGCTAAAAGTGAGGATATTTTCCACCCAATGTGCAAGTTATGATATAAAATTGATATCAAATAAAGATGAAAATATAGATCAACAAATAAAAATTTGAACTACTTTTGTTAATGATGTCGACAGTTTAGGATAGAAATACAAGTCTAAGTAGTGCACTCAACTTGCACTTGGTTTCAATTTTAATATTAGGTTTGTCTATAGTAAGAGAAATGATGATGTGACCAAGAAAATACTTTGAAATTCTTGTCATATAAACAACACTTCTAGCTTTTGGGACATTTTAATAGAGTTTGCATGAAGGCTTAGCTATAAGTAATATGTGGTAATCTACGTGCAACGTTGTCGAGTCGGACAAGAATTTCAATAATTTAATTTTTTTTCTTACATCGAGTCATTAATCCGTTATATCTATTCACTTTTAACTAATAAAATTAGATGTAGCAAAGAAAGTAGAAATCCATTTTAGTCGCATTTTAAAGCATATTGAAGTCAATTATTTGCCAAACAACCATTTAATGTTAACTTTTATATCCAACAAACACAGATAAGTGTGTAGATATATAGAAAATTGGGTACAAATTGAAAATATACTACAAAACTTGACTGCAGAAAATTTCATAAGATCAAATCAAATATTACAAAAGAGACTTCAGCTTGAAACATACTAATACAAGAAGAATGGTTGAGAAATATTCTTGCAAGAAAAATATTATCAGGATCCTTCATCAAACCAACTTTAAAATCCCAATGATATTAAAAATATATATTCATAATATCTTAGAGCTTAAATCATATCAGCTGCTATTCTATACTAAGCAAAAGGAACATTTATCTAGCTCGGGAGATATCACTTAAATTCTGAAAGAGAGGCAATGCACTGAAGATGAAGCTCAAAATCTGTGAATGAGTCTATCCTCGACGTGGAAGGTGCCATCGGCGTGCAACCAAAACCAGACCTATACTTTTCTTGAGAGACAAATATATCGGGTCATTTGAGAGATTAGGCGCAACATTTATTCCACAATTAGCATCTTCAATGTAATTTCTGTTTTCGATTACAGAAAGGAGAGAGAATCGACCTTTTTCAATAGAGATCTCTCATCTAAAACGGTCGTACTATATGTGTCACCAAGTAAATATCGTTTAATGTTTTCCATTACATCCCAAAATTCTGGTGTCTTGTCTGAAGGTAAACATCCAGAAGTTACTTGTTCAGATAAACAGCTTCCTATGTTGTTTTCTAGATCACGCATCACAGATGGACGGAGATCTGGCACTTTCAGTTGTTCCCAACTTCTTTGCTCCAAATAGCCATGCCCTTCATGACTTCCATTACATTCAAATGCACTCGTATCCATCACTAGTAACATTAGACGATGGTTGAAAATGAATTCAAAATTACAACTACAGCTAAATAATTTTGCAAGATCAGATATGGAGACAAGCTGATAAATAAATTGGTACTCATAATGTGTGCTTAGATTTTTTTTAATAGTAATTACTCCAAAATCAGATACACTGGAGATTTTGTATTCACAATAAAGACGAACAATATTGTACCTGAGCTGGAGGACAAGGTTTTTGTAGACATGTTTTCAACAGTCACATGATTAGGATTTTGTTCGAAAGTTGAAGGAGATGATTGTGTGATGGCTACTAATTCTACATCCTGGAAGCTAGAGGGAGAATATCCTTGAGCGAGAGACACTCGATCAAATTCATGACCTCTGCATTCTTCTGGGTTAATAGAAGCACATGTATCAAAATATGGCGAGTCTATAACTATCTCGAGTTGTCGGCTCAAAATATAAAGACGCTTATCACACTGGATCAACTTTTCATAGTGCTTGTCTAACACCCCTAGAGGGCATTGTAAAAAATGCTTCCTGTCCAAATAACATCAAAGGTTGGATCACTCAAGACTAGGACCAATGTTTTTGGGATCTCAAAATGATTCAGTGTAAGTAATCATAAGGATTATAGTCCAAACCCAATGGTTTTAACATGAAATTTCAATTGATCGAAAAGACAACACTATTTAACTGCTTACCTATTTATGCTAGCTTGCCCACCAGTGAATTCAGAAGTTGGCTTCCAAATAGTATGTTTTCTGGGTTGTGGATTGTTCTCTTTGAAGAAGATGGGTGACCTAGCGAACTGCAGCAGAGCAAGATTAAAAGTAACTCTCTTATTAATGAAGTAAAATAAGAAGCCACCTATAAGTGGCACCTGAAATATATTTTATCTATATAATGAAAAAATATGTAACAATTACCACTATAGTTAATGTGCCAGGGCCATTATCACCATAATTTGCCTTCACAGCTGTTGGAATTATGACATTTTAGTTGTCACTCAACTAGTGTATTTTGGTTTGCATTTAGTTAGACAATAGTTTGGTTTATAAAGTATAGTCTAGCAAAGTATTGTGGGCTGTCAAGTATGACTTTGTGTAAGGAAGTAGTATGGTAGTGTAAGAGTTGATAGAATAGTTGGTAGGATGTCTTGTAGTGTCTATCAAGTTGGCTATTTATAGAGTCATGTTGTTATGTAAATTATGAAGGAAATAGATCACAAAAATCGTCCAAAATGTAGACATTCAAAGTGTTCCTTTCACTCCTCTGTTCTGTCCAGCACAAGAGTGATTTAGCATAGGTTTAGCTTATGTTTACTATCAAGTTGGCTATTTATAGAGCTATGTTGTTATGTAAAATATGAAGAAAATGTATTAGTAAAACGTTCTAAAAATGTAGTCCTCAAAGCTCCTTCATCCTCTGATCTGTTCATTGTAGAACAACAAAGATTTTGTTATGTTTTTATTTGTTTTATGTTAATTAACTAGTATGTTGAACAACCGGTATCCACTCCTCCATACAAACCTTGAAGGGCTCTCTCAAAAGAGCCTTAGACCTTGAAAATCCCAACAAGAGCTATAATATCAGACCACATAATTTCAATTTTACTCTTTGAGTCCACCTTCGAGAACTTCCCACACAAGTCTTTGCTTTGCAAAGTAACACTTCA